CTAGTCTACTACGCTCTCAAGGGCTTTGTGTGATTGTGCGTGTGTGTATGTGTGTGTGTGTGTTATTTGGAATAAGTATAGATTCACAGGAAGTTGCAATGATAGTACAGTTGATTCTTGAACAAGATGGGTTCGAACTGCATTGGGTCCACTTATACACAGGTTTTTTCAGTAAATATACAATTGGCCCTCTGTATCCCTGAATTTCACATTGAGAGGTTCAACTAAGTGCAGATCGAAAATCATTTTCCGTCCGCAGTTGGAAATCTGCAGATGAGCGGGGCTGACTGTGTGCATTGTTCTCTGCCGTTTTGTGTGTGAGACTTGAGCATCCAAGCATTTTGGTATTTGAGGAGATCCTGGAACCAGTCCCCTGTGGATACCGAGGGAACACTGTCATTAAGTTATGGGAGGTCAAAAGTTATACACAGGTTTTCAACTGCACAGGGTTCAGTGCCTCTAACCCCCAAGTTGTTCACGGGTCAAATGGAGGAGAGAGGTCCTGTGAACCCTTTACGCAGTTTTCCCCAATGGCTTCTTATATCAAAACCAGGAAATTGACATTGGTACAATGCGTATGTGTAGTCTGATGCCTTTCTATCACACACAGAGATTTGTGTAATCATCACTGCAATCGAGATATGCAATTATTCTATTGCCCCAAATACCTCACTCATTCTTTATAGTCAGTCACCCCTTCACTCTCCTTAACCTATGGCAGCCACCAATCTGTTCTCCATCTCAATAATGACACCTATATGGTGTCATTTCAAGAACATTATACAAATGCCATCGTTCAGTACGTGATCTTTTGAGCTTGACTTTTTCTCACATAGCGCAATGCCCCGAAGAGCCACTCAAATTCTCGCAGTAACCATAGTTTGTTCCTGTCGCTGAGTAGTAATACGTGGTGTCATGTGCCATGGTTTGTTTAATCATAAACTCACTGAAGGACATTTGGGTTATTTCCAGTTTTGGGTTACTTGGTAGTTCCCCTTTATTCTTTATTTGTTTGCTGAAATTTTCTATTTTTTTTTTCATTTATGTTAAGAGAATTTATAATTGTTGAAGCATTTTATGATGAATACTTGACAGATACTTTCATTTGTTGTGGGCATCGGTCGACTGTCTTTTCTCATTCTAGCTGTGACTTTCCTGATTCTTAGTATGATGAATGATTTCTTTATTGTATCTGGTATGTTTTGGCTATTATGTTAGGACACTGCATAAATTTTTCATTGCAATAGTCAGTCATTTTATTTAGGTTTAGCATGAAGTTGCTGGCTTACTTTGGTGAGCTGTAGTTCCAATGAAAATTTAATTTTCAGAGTATTTTTAGTGTTATTTTGGTTCACTTAGTGTAGTTAGCACCAGTGAGGCTCCCACTGATGCTGCTTGAGGGGACAAAAGGAGCTCTCCCAGA